ATATATTATCTATCTCATGCAAGATATTTAGCGAAAATTTTGAAACCAGCAGAAATACTGAGCAATTTGTTTAAGAAAACAAATAACATTCCAGTAATAGACAGTGATAGTGAAGAAGATTAAATAAATCGTAGGTGTAGGGTGTAATGAGAGGCGAGGGGTCTTACATTCAAAAAGCACCCTGATTTTACGGAAACGTAGTGAAAGGCGAGAAGACTCACGTTAAAAAAGCACCCCGATTTTACGGAAACATAGTGAGAGGCAAAGGGACTCACGTTAAAAAAGCACCCTGATTTTACGGAAACGTAGTGAAAGGCGAGGGGACTCACGTTAAAAAAGCACCCTGATTTTACGGAAACGTAGTGAGAGGCAAAGGGACTCACGTTAAAAAAGCACCCTGATTTTACGGAAACGTAGTGAAAGGCGAGGGGACTCACGTTAAAAAAGCACCCCGATTTTACGGAAACGTAGTGAGAAGCGAAGGGACTCACGTTAAAAAAGCACCCTGATTTTACAGAAATATAGTGAGAGACGAGGGGACTCACGTTAAAAAAGCACCCCGATAAGGAGTTTAAAACCGTACTGCAACCTCCACGTGGTAAACTCTGGAAACTATAAAAATTAAAAAGTATACATATTATAGGCTAATTGCAGACGTACATATGTGCTATTAAAGTTACATCGAACACCCGCAACGCGGAATGGCACTGCACTGTGCGCCGGAGTGACGCGACACTTACGATTTTCGTATTTTTAACTATGTTCCACCATTTAAAAAAAATTGAAAAAAATATATGTTATAGTGAACACTTTAAGAGAAATTTTTGTAAAAATTTCAAAGGAGTACCTCGAAAATATCACCCTAAAAAAAAATATTAAAAAATTCAAATATATTTTTTTTTGGTTTTCTTTTTTGGCAAACATTTTGGACATTTTTTTTGTTAATTAGTTTTATTAGTCTACATAACATATTTTTTTCATCAAGATCGGTCAAGTGGTTTTCGAGAAAAATACATTTCTTTATTTTACTTTCTCCCTGCATAACTTCTAAAAAAATGAATTTTTTAAATAATATTTGGTGGAAAGTTTTATCATATTGGTACTAACTTGTGACATTAATGTCAGCTCTGTATGATCAAGGGCCGATTTCACATGCTTACTCCGCTAGGCTCTTTCGGAGCTGTCTAATCACATTGAAAAAGAAAGCTTTTACATACTTCGATTACTTTATTATTTTATAAAAGTGGCAGTATAATATTATAGATCCAAACATCATGTTGATGGTTATTATGAAGTATCTTATGCAAGCCAGGGTACATATACATACATGCACGATAATAGCGGATTCCGCTTTTCCATTCAAACGTGCGGGACTCAATTCGCGGAAACGCGGAATCTAGTTACTATTCTATTCCGCGCTTCCGCGTTTCCGCGTTCCATGTAATGGCACCCTCAGTGCTATCTAAAGCATGGAAAGTACGAGGACAACAACAATCAACATTAAACCTATTCGCTGCAAACGGCACTGTCATAGCAACATACGGGACACGAAGACTGCATCTGGACTTAGGTTTACGAAGAGACTTTGGATGGAATTTCATAGTTGCCGACGTCGCACAGCTAATCATCGGAGGTGATCTAATTAGGCATTACGGTTTAATTATCGATCTCAAGAGAAAACGCCTCCTTGACGAACATACAGGATTGCAGCGCCTGTGTCAACTTACCCGCAGCAACTATTCGAACATACGTATCATAAACGGAGACAGTTTTTACAATTTTTTGTTACAGAAGTTTCAAGAAATAGCTACATCTAACAAAACCGAAAAAGTTGCGAACACCGGGGTAATGCACGAAAGGACCGCCTGTAGCCGAACCAATGCGCAGACTCCCGCCTGAAAAATTTCGCGCAGCCAAAGCGGAATTTGAGAGAATGCTGGCAGCAGGGATATGTCAACGTTCCAGTAGCCAATGGACAGCACCGTTACATCTAGTGCCCAAGAAATCGGAGGCCGGAGAAATCGACTGGAGGCCATGCGAGTAGTGTGTATAAGCCGATTCAGACTCGGGAGCTCCGAGGGGGGTGAGGGAGGGGAGGGGGGTATCGGATCGCGGGGCGTTCGGTGGGGGGGGGGGGGGAGGGAGGGGGTATCGGACCGTGGTTCTGAGGGGGGAGCGGGGCGGGGGTGTACCGCGGGCAAGGGGGGAGCGGGGAGGGGGGGTCCGCGGGGAGGGGGAGTGGGGAACTCGAGGGCAAGAGTGTCCGCGGGGAGGGGGCGCGGGTAGTCCGCCGGGAGGGGGGGTGGTCGGCGAGCATGTCGGGACATGTTTATTAAATGTTAATAAACGTATCGTTGACAAGGGTACCGCCGAGGGGGGTGTCCGCGTTCTACGCCGAGGGTGGTCCGGGGGGAGGAGGGGGGGTCGTCACTTTATCGGCGCGGGGTATTACAAAGGCGATGGGCGCCGTTCGGCTGCTGGAATTTTATCGGCGGCGCGCCGCGGGAGGATGGGGGTCCGCGTCCAACGGCCACGTCGGTCCACGTGACGTCACACGGCTCGCCCGCGTCTCGTTCGCGTTGTCTTTCCCTCAGCGCGGTCTCTCTCTCGCTCCCGTTCTTTTGCCTCTCCCCCGTTCGCGCGCGTCTTTTCGTTGGCGTTCTCTTTTTCTCGCGCGGATTTAACTTAATAATTATTATTATTTAAAATATTATTATTATTATACTTAATAATAGTGAAGAAAGCGGAAAAATAAATAATAAATGATATATAGAATTAAGAATAAAAAATATTTATTCATAAAACTTTAAAAAAATTTTTTAAAAATTACCACACCTCTTCCTCTTCAACGTCAAACTCATTTTGCATATCGAATAATCTTCGTAATTGGAAGATATCTTCATCTCCTAAAACGTCCCAGATTTCCTCGTTATATTCGGAATCCACTCTTCTAAACCAGCGTACCAAACGCTGACGGTGAATATTGATAAATCCCCGAATTCGGATTTCATCGAAATATATAAAACGCTAAAAAAGAATTTAAAAAAAATTTAAAAAAAGTTTAAAAAATTGAAAAAAAATTAAAATCTTTGAAAAAATATTAAACACACCTGTCTGTGAGGGATCCGAACCCTCACCATATTATAAAGACGGACCTCGCGCACCGGCACGTTGTCGACCCATATCCACTGTAACGCGTTAACAGAGAATGGTTAATTTTTTAAAAAATATATAATATACAATTATGTATTGTTGCGTGCATGCCGCCCGGTATGCTTTTTCAAAAAAATGTTACGACAGTGACTCTCTCAGACACTTATTCACACTCGCGCACTCACGAAAATAACGACGATTTAAACGATCGTCGTGACGAACTGCACGCTTCAGCTTGGAGTTTGAAAAGCATACCGGGCGACACGTACGCAACGGTATTAAGTATACATACTCCTACTGCGGGGTATTCGATTACTATGCATTGTTCGATTACGTGATATCTTCGTTCCATTTCATCTCGTTCCTCTTCTTCTCGGTCCATTTCAAACAAGAAAGTAAAAAAACAATCACAAAGGCGTCACTAATCCTCGAAAAAAATATTTTCGGGCAAAACACGTTCAAGCAGGCTCACGGCTACGATGAGATTGAAGTCGCCATAGAAAAAAATATAATGGCGGTGTATAAAACTGATAGTCGTAAGACAAAATATGTCTTGCACTACAAAGGCGAGCGCCGAGGTCCGCCGGAACATCGCTTCTATGTTATATGCGATAATGAAATCGTGCAACCGATGCTCCAGCGAACGTCGCATATACGGCTCGAATAGAAATGCGCGCGAAGAAAATATAGTATGATTTATACTTAAAAAAACAATCCATCTACGCAGTACGTGAAAAAAACAAAGGAAGAAATGACGTCATCGAGACGATGATCGACCCGATAATGCATCGAACCTGTAGGGACATGTTTGTCGTGAGCAAATGTTTTCTAGGAAAAGGGGGGTGTTATCGCGTAGACTAAACAATTTCGCGCTATTTTTTACGACGCAGTACGCGAGACAAAGGAAGAAATGATCTATCAATTGGAGCGAGAGAGAGGGCAAAGGTATATATAATGAGGGATGAAGCGCATCGAGCCGCATTAGCATACGATTTTAGAGTGATACATCGGTTGCGACGTGAACATTATTTTTTTATAACATTGAGCAAGAAGAAATGACGCTTGACAATAATCGCTCGTGGTTACCGGACTATGAAAGTGATGAAAAGCGATGACTTTCCATACTATTGCGACCGTTTTTACTATGGCGACCATTTAATAGATGATATCGCCAATGCTTTGCGTGATGAAGATCGAGGACGAAAATCGACGGATGTGCAACGAATATCACTGGTGCAGTTTGTTCGCGATCGCGAACTCGGGATACGCGGAACCGATAAACGCATCGTTAGACAAGGAGTTGTTATCAATGTATCGATAAGTATCCTTATGACTGGAAGTCTAACATAAGACGGAAAATATACATAGAGGTGCGGAACGAGGTAAAAGAATATGAAGCTCATGAAATTCGTGATGATCCTTTCTACATTAAACTGTTTAAACATGACTTTAAGTCGCAGTATGAGGAGTATCGCTATTGGGCAACTACAGTTATTCGTGAGATAGAAGGACACTTAGTCGATCTGCTAGTTCAAATTCACACAGGCACTGGGAAGTGCGTTGAAGTGGTGGCGAGGTACAATCTGCGTCTGCAACCCTATTACGACTATTCCGTCGACAATAAGGTGCAAAGAACTCTTGAACGTGAACTTATCGATTGTGATAATTGGCACTGTGATGTCCTTTTCTTCAGTCTTTATAAATTTATGTTGGAACACTATAACATTCAGTATACCTATCGACATTGTCCAGCGTGTTATCGATGCGTGTGCAAGTGCCCCTTCGAAGAGTGTGACGTAATCGACAAGTCTACATTATATAATGGGCGTCGACTTCGTGGTGATGAACAACCTGAATCTGATGAACAACCTGAATCTGAATAGATAAAACATGGAGCAATTCGAGCAAACCGAACGCGATCTGTTGGAGCTGTCCGACCAAGTAACCACCTTGGGTGAATTTTTCACATGGACGCTGCAATGCGCGGAATTCATCGAGCAGCTCGAGACACGTTGTAGTGCTAAACGTCCGCTCTCGATCGGGCAGAGGCAATCGTTGTTTGCCAGAATTGCGCGACTCGAGGGTGTGAAGTTGCGATTGGAAAGACAATTTTTCCATAGCGGTGGTGATTATGCGAACGCCGGTACCAGTGGTGACACGCGCACAACAGAACTCGTATGGCGAGAGATCGACGCCGCGTTCAAAAAGCGTATAATAACCGGTGCGGTAATTAATACAGACCATGTAGAACCGCGAAAGTTTTTGGAAGACGCCTGCAGCGTAGTGTGCAAGCGAGTGCGAGACAGTATAAAAACACATAACTGTGTCAAAGTGAACACCGTGTTCAATGGGGAGTTTGTGGCGGGTGATAAACGTGACAATAAGAGTTTTAATACAAATAACATAGAACTCTGTGGTACATCACACTTGCGCGAATGGTACGAACTACATGTTATCGAGCCCACAGTAGCGAAACTCTATATCATCGAGGGACAGAAGACTTCAAACGTTCTCCCGATACGGCTTACCGACCGCACGAGTGATAAAAAAAACATGTGAATCTGCTGTACGTGCAGGACCCACGAGACAACAATGTTGGACATTTTGCATGGAATAAGGATCTATCCCGTCTCGTGAGCTCACAATTGAGCACGCACCATAGTCGGAAATACATTTGCGATCGGTAAGTACCTCTACTTCTTTTAATAATATATATTATTTTATGTTTTTTTTGTAAAAAAATTTATAATATATATGATTCTTTTTTGCAGATGTCTTCACTAATTTTACACAAGCATGAAATTGGAAACCCACACCGTGGACTGCCGAGAGGTAAACAAATGCGCAATCCGACTACCGAGCGAGGACAACAAGTGGCTCAGCTTCAAGAACCACAGCAGGAAAGAGCGACTTCCCTTCGTGGTGTACGCCGATCTGAAGTGCGTGCTGCAGAAGACACAACCGGATACGGAACACGCGTCATACGCCTATCAACATCATCGGGTATGTAGTATAGCATACTACGTACAGTGTTCGTACGACGAAACGTTATCGACGTATCGATTTCGTCGCGATAACGACTATGTCGCGTGGTTCGTCGAGGAACTCAACGGATTGGCGCATCGCGTAAAAAAAACATCTTGTCCGACATTGTATGCATGGTAGACCTAACGCGAGAC